GAGAGAGGTGATCTGACTGATCACATCACTAATCTAAGGCCTTCCCAATGCCCATCAGGCAAAAATAAATAAATAAATAAAACAAGAAAGTTAACAGATTTGCTTAAGATGCCACAGCTATTTTGTAACAGAGCTAGAGTGGGAATTCAAATTTCCCAAGACCTAGACTTGAGTACTTCACATATTATCTTTTGTCCTGATGGTGACCATTCACAAATGATATGTTTACATGTTAGAGTGGGTACTCACACATAAGTATCACTTGATGAAGTATATTTGCTAAACTAGGTAACTGAAATGCCTCGTATCTGGTAAACTAGCATTTTTACATAATAACTGTACTGTAGATATGGTCTATGAACAAGCTAGTTCCCTATAAATAGATAAGAGCAGCAATGCTATGTATCATACCCTGTTCTGTTGTGCTAGCAGTGGTGGTGGTTTGGAGCTGTGCTATTTGAGAGCAGCCCAGTCTAAAAATAATCGAAGATTTTTTAAAATGACCCATTACATGCTGTTTAAGAGCAAAATATGTATTTTCTGATTACTCTCCTAAAAAAAATTCTAAGTTCAAGAAATATGATAACAATTAGTCAGAGGTTTAGATTCAAAGTTGATTAAATGGTTCTAGCCTTGTCTTAGAGAACAGGAGGTTATGTAAGCAAGAAGAAATAATTATTGATGTCTTCCTCTTGCCCCAAAGAGGCAGGTACCTCTGGACTGCTACTAGAAAGAAAAGTCTATGGATGGCGATACCTCATTTTCCCTGCCTAGTGACTGATAACTCGTACCAGAGACAATATTTTCATCCTCAGTTATCACTGCATAAATTTGTATTACATGGTTTCCTGCTGATATCTTTAGTCGGGAAGAAATTGTGACCAGTAAACTAAAGAAACAGAATCAGTTCCATTTGGATGATAATCCCTGTTCTTACAGCACTCTCTCTGGTCCTGAGCTTGCTCTTCACTGAAAGCCTGATAGCTAATTCACTGTCCTTAGCAGCATTCCACAATTAGTTAACACACAGCCCTTAATAACCTCCGTGCATCCTAAGGCCTTCACTTACAGTTCTGCTTAGGATGGAAAAACATATGTATAACAGATATACTCAGCCTCCTAAAGTCTTTTATAATTAGGGAGTCAGTATTTCCTTTTGTTTCCACAGCCAAGACAACTGAAGAAAATTAAAATGACGTGGAAGACATAAGCCATAAATTCACCTCATCCTTCTCCTACTTCTTCTTCCATGAACCACACCCTATGGTGTAAATGGTTAATTCCCCAAATATCTTATTTTGCGGCACATTCAGCCTGAGCTTGGGGTTATCCTTCCTAAATGAAACACAGTTTTTGAGAGTAAGGCTAGTTTGAAACAAGTTACAAAGGGAAAGTTTTTCCTGAAATGCTCCCTTCAAGGCATATGGGTGGTCAGAGTATTATCTCAATGTCTTCTTCATTAACCACAAGGTCAGATGTTTGAATCTCCAATTAATTAGTTTCTCCAGTAGCTTGCGTAACATAAATGAGTGATCTTCATCCAGTTCACTTAGACAAAACCCATCATGACAGTTGGCACATTTTTGGCATTTGTCAGTAAAGTGGGGAAAAAGTAAATGACCCATGTGGACAAAATGGGAATCTAATGAGGGCTATTGGATGAAAAGTGTAAAGTGGCCTCCATCTACTGCAGAACAGGGTGCCTGAGTGTCTGCCAACATCATCTGCAAGAGAAAGTCAACCACAAAGTTCCTCCACTGTGGTATAAACCTTCAGGCTCATTTATTTAGCTGTTCATGATATTCAAAGACTATGAATGTCAGTTTACACTGGAATGTTATTAAAGGCTACTATTAATAGAATTAACAATATTTAGAAGTTTTAAGCAAACGGTAACTCTAGGAAACAAAAATAATTTCCATCCCTATTTATTTTATCCTAAAAGGATATATAAAAGTATTCTATTTTAAGACTATGTTTAGACTACTTTTCTGTTATCCAAAATACTTATGAGCTTTTCTCATAAAAGCTCTAAAACTGCTAAATGTAATCTTTAAAAGAAAGGGATAACAACTCAAATCATATATTTTCATATAAATGTACTTATATATGACAGATGTTCACACAGAAGGTTGAGATCATATTAAAAATTTTTGATGTGTTTGTTTTATATGGGGATTAGCTGTGTAGAAGCATAGGAGATGATGAAACTCTAGCCAGCTGAGAGGTAAAAAACATTAATCCATGTGAATTTCTAAGTAAAGTGATATCTTCCTCCAGCATTTTGTTAATGTCTTCATCAGACACATAAATGCAGGTCAACCACATGACCACCATTATTTCCTTTTAAGGAATTCAAGGGATTTGGAAAGTGAAAAAAACTCAAAAGCATTTCTGATGTTTTATCTTTGTAATATACTTTCTATATGATGGCACAGATTCTAAACTAGGTAAATAAATGGAGATTAAAATTTTCAGTCTGGGCAAGGTGGCTTACACCTGTAATTGCAGCACTTTGGGAGGCTGAGGCGGGCAGATAATTTGAGGTCAGGAGTTTGAGACCTGCCTGGCCAACATGGTGAAACTAAAACTAGCTGGGCATGGTGGTGAGTGCCTGTAACCCCAGATACTAGGGAGGCTGAGGCAGACAAACTGCTTAAACTCAAGGGATGGAGGTCGCAGGGAGCCGAGATAGTACCGCTGCACTTCGGCCTGGACAACAAAGCAAGACCGTCTAAAAATTAAAAAAAAAAAAAAATTGAAGTAGATGAAAAAATGAGCCAGATGCCTCAAATATGAACACCTGAAAAATGACTACAATTTTCAGACAAGCTGATGTGAACTATGTATGTATATTCACAAATATGTATATTTTCCACAGTGCATATTATAGCACATATAGTCTCTAAGATTCCTAACAGCTCTAAAATCTAATTTCTAACTCCTGTTCTTTTTCCCCTAATGTCTTACTCTTGCCAATTGTTAGACCATTCCTTCCCTTAACTTTTTAAATATTTTAAATATATTATTTTAAAAACCCATTCATATAGTTCAACTACCTGTAGGTCACAGACTATGATGTCCACCCTCAATGCCTGGGTTTACTGTTGCTCATTGGTGGTAGCTGACTTGATTGCTTTAGAATTGGTGCTTCTTAGCCCATCTGGGTATCAATGACCTTCTCTAGCGTCGTGTGCCTGGATTAACGGAATGTCTCTGTGGGGTGAACACTATCACGAGTGTCTGCTGCATACTCTATGGGATTCACTGTTTGTACCAGCTTTTATGTTAAACTGTTTGGTCCTGAGTATTGCACAGTAGGAATAGTGCTAGAAGGCTCACCTGTATGCAGAAAGCTGATCTAGTCCCTCTTACTCCCAACTTATTTTATATATGTATGTATCTTGCTGAAGTATTAAAACTCCAGCACTAAAGCATATGGTCCATTTGGTTATCTTGGGTTATTATATTACAATTGTCTTTTCTGTGGGAAATCCCTCCTTGTTTTTAGCACCTGGAAATTTCTACTTCTTGTTTGCAAGCCTAACTATGCTTTTATTTTCAGATACTTTGCCAACATTTCTATGTGCTGGTCAGGGAATGGGGAACTTTCTGCAACTTGGCTTGTCGTAACAGCCAGAAATGTAGCTCAAATCTGACTTGTTTGTTTTAAAGCAGCATCTGTTATATGCTTTTAAAAGATATGCATCCAACTGTCAATATTTACCTGCAACTTAATGAGGTGTTCATATTATTTCAAACATATTTAAGGAAGTATATGTAAATAATCTCATTTTCTCAGTCTCTTGAATTAACTAATTAATTTTGCTTCTGAGATAGCATGTGTGTGTGTGTATTTAGTTTCAAAACCACCAGGTAAATTTGGCCTTCATTACTAATTACTGCTGGCCTCCAAATAAGTAAGTTCTTGACAAGGTCAATAGGGTGTACCTCCCTTGAGGGAAACCAAGATGTTTATAAAATCAAACTTTTTTATGTTATAAAAGATACAGAGTAAATCCATCCCTCCATGTGAAAACAAATGAAATAGAGGGGAAATGTACTTAAACTATGTAAGTTCCTCTATGATTCTGACCCTTTTCTTTCCAATTTCCTTCATCTTAGGAAAGTCTATTCTTCTAAATTCTAGAATACAGCAAAATACAACAAAACAAAACAAATGAGTTGTGTGAGGGAGATAAAGAGATAAAGGCACAGAAGAGCTAATCTGGAAATGTCAACAGCTAGGTGCCTAACTGGGAATGTTCGTATCTCTACACAGAAGGCTGAATTAGAAACATACAACACGGTCTTCATCACTAGCCTTTACTCTCCAGCACTCCCATTGCAAAGGAAGTCTACAAAGTGAACACACTGTACTGGAGATTTGGCAGCTCACCCTGAGCTTTGTCAAATTGTGTAAGCAACATTGTTGGAAAGAAAGAAAGGGATTTGTCAGCCCAGTTATTTACATCAATACATGTTGGTTCAAGGAAGGTAACAGACACACATAAAACATACTTTTTCACATAAGACAGATGTGTTTATTTACTTGGTTCTGACCAATTGCTTAAGGAAAGCTCATCTTTAGGCTAATTTTGCAAATATCAATGTCAGCTGTGGTAGTTTATAAAAACGTAGCTGCTGAACGTGATATGAAAAATCCATGCACAAGTAATGCCAGCATACAAAAGCGTACCATATCCTTCCTGTTTCCTTTCTAAATGCTCTGCCAAAATCAAACCAGTATCTGGCATTTGAAATCAATTCTTTTCTTGGCTTTCTTACATCTGATTTCCCCCCTGAACTCTAGTTCCATCAAGACCCATAACTAGAGAAGGTATCCATTGTCTAATTAAAGTTCAACTCTTATAAACATTTTATTTAACTGCATTTCCGCTTTAAGCATCATCACAATGCTAATCTTTTTAATGATGCTACAAAAGAGATAACAGAATTGCAACAATGACACAAACAACAACCTCCACTTGAGCACTTACCCCGTAAAACGGTGAGTCTGGTGGATACACTTATTTCTCCCACATTATTTGAGGCCACACATTCATAAATGGCCTCATCCCTCGGAGTCCGTAAGGGCTGTATTCTGAGAACTGATCCAGACCCATCGTCAAACTCTATTACCTATTAGAGGAAACAATAGCTGTCACAGGTGTTGTTACAATTGTCTACCTCTCAGCTAAACCTCTCAATGCAGTGTTGGACCAGCCATTAGGCTCAGAATAAACTAGGAATCATTCTGAATCTGAATTTTGATACAGTGGTGAAAAAATATCTGGTCTAATTTAATGAATCTTTTACTAAACAAGGAGAAAGACATGCAACTACATATGCAAAACGTGAAAATTTCTAGTTCCTACTAAAAACTCCCAGGGTTTACTCACTAAAATATTTCATTATGTGCATCTAGGCCAATTTGATTCTATTAACTTTGCAAGAGGCTTGAAGCTATGATGGCTAAACTTCTCAAATTATTCTTTCTCTGACAGCACATATACAAATGTGGATTCATTCAATAATGAGACTATAAGGCAAAGAATTAATGCACACCACCTCAGATAGCTCTACTGGTTTAAACTCTAATCCTGAACAGTATAGGTGGGCAAACCATGAAGAGAAACTGCATAAATCTAGTACTTAGGGAGCCGAGACAGCTTTCACAATCCAAAAGCCTGATGGCATACATTAATTTTGCCACAAATCATTCCAGTATTTGTTCTAGCTTAGCATTTTCTGCATTTGTAGAGCATTCTTGCTGTAAAACGGAGGCTTGCTTCACCAGGCAGAAAATTAATGTGCTAAACACTAAGCCTGAATTCACCATCATTAGGAACTCTTCTGTGAAACAGTTTAGTGACACTGATAATCCTAGATACTTGTTAGCTAATTCAAGTACCACTTAAAAAGAAAAAATATGATGATTATGATACTAACAAATAAGATACAATACTATGGAGTCCACTAGCTATCTTTTCTGTAACTGTGCTGCATTCCTTCAGCTGTTCACTGAGTTGTGTCTTTTTTTGCTTGTATTTCACTGTGAATATTCCCGTGTGCCTAAATTATGAATAAACTGAGATTGCCTTATAAATATATTTATGGGATGCTTAATTCCTGATTTTGTGTGTATGTTAACATAGAGAGAAAGGACATTACTATTTTCAAAATATATCCACTTCAATCTTTGTGCACTCTATTTCTCTCCAAATTCACAAAAAATATCCAAAATGGCTCATTTCCCAATGCACCACAATTTATTTTCGAATCTATTAAACATACATTTTAAAATAAATCTACTATGCATCTTAGGAAAGAAAAGTTTCATAGTTTCATATTGGATGCTTTGTTAAGAATTTCATAATTTAAAAAAGTTATTTATGAACATTTCATGATTTAGTATAGGGAAAGTTTTAAGCAACTACAAAACCATTTAAATGTTGATTAATTTATCAATAAATGTCATTGTATGTTTAGGTTTGTGAACTATTTCCTAGATTCAAACCTACCCCATTACAACATACAATATACCACACATTACAAGCCAGTGATATAATTTCCAGTCTGAAAATAATCAGTATTGATTTCATGCCTGTCATGGACCAGACACCCCATTTAGCACTGGGGACAGAGACGGAGCAAAAACAGTCACCGTCTGCTGCTCTCATGGGCCGTATAGACTAGTGAAACCAAATATATACACACACTGTTAAAGACAGTAAAGATTTCCAACCCAGAACTTGATAGTCTGATAAAGCTGCTTTGTGTAAAAAATAATTCATTTACGCCAGAGGTGTTTTTATGACTCTTGTCGGGAATTATGTACTGAGGAGAAATAAGTACATAATTCTGAAATATTTAGTATTAAATTTCTGTTACACGATTTTGTCAAGAGCCACTGTCATTAGCAAGCAGGATGTCAAACTTTTCTTTAACAAAAAATTAACTTTGTTTAAAAATTTTTAAATGTGCAGCAAAGATGCACGCATACCTCATTTTCTACATGACACAGGAAACATTTTCTAAATATTTAAGATGTTTTTATACGTAAATAAATTATATTTTAATAAGTGATTTTTCAGACATAATTTCAAACTTCTCACTTATAAACTACAATCCAGATTTCCAATTTCGCCACTGTAATTAATTAGGTTTTCTACACATTTGAACCGCTGATCATCCTGTGAGTTCCTATGAAAATAAGTAAAATAAATTTTTTCTGAATTTTGTAGTTGCTATATTTCTTTTAACTTAGAAATTGCCTTTAATCTGCCAAACTGCAAATTAGGTTACAAAGGAGATTAGAAACTCAGGTAAAATGGATGCGTGTTTCATGATTTCGGGCAGTTTGGGGGTACCGGTAGTCCCTAAAATTAAAGCTATCCTTTTCATGTCTTAAATGATGGGCATGCTATCGTGTGCCTCTCTGTGTAGCTTTCAGTACAGCTTACTGCCTATATTTCTCTTCCAGCATGCGCAAATTTCTAAACCATAAGCCTTCTCACAAACACTCAAAAAAAGAATCTCCGATTTATATTTCACCACCTTCAGTGCACTGAGCTCTCTTGAATACAGAAAATCAACTTCTTCAATAGGCTTCTCTGCAATATCAACCTATTTGGGTATGTTTCTTTCAGAGTAATGCAGTACTTTAAAACACTGGAACAAATTTTTCATTCTATTTCACACTACCTGTAAAACACAGGTGTGAGGGGCAGTGGACAACTTCATTTGTTGCTCAGCATCCATTCCCATTCTTGTTGGTAATGGGATTTAAATTTCCTTTGGAGAAACACTGCTCTTTCATTCTAAGCCATGCGATTGAATGGAACTGTCTTCATTCCCAGTCAGAGGTAGATTCCAACTGGCTTAAATTAAGAAGGCTACACTGTCCATCTATCCACACAAATTGGCTCAGGGATGAACAAGTAACTTAATAGGAACCAATGGGATGAGAGGTTTCTGGAGGAGACAAGCCTTCATGCATCCAACAGACGTGGTCCTATAAGGATGTAGAGCTCCATGTATGAAACTGACAGACGGATCCTAGGAATACCACTGAGCCCTTGCACAAGTAGAAACAAAAAATCAGTCCTTGAACTCCCCAATTTCCTTTTTTAAAAAGCCATTTAGAGTTACATTTTCCATCATTTGCAATGTAAGGAATGCCATATTTCAGTGACACCTTATGTAAGAGTAAAGCAAGCAAGTAACATACAAACCAAAGATAGAGCAGATACATTCTTCCCTCAGAGAAACAGAACAATGGACCTAATACCTCAAATCTCTGGTTGCTGACTTTCTTTCCTTTTTTGTTCCACACAATTTTAGGTCTTGGGTCTCCCGTAGCTTGGCAGATGAAAGAGGCAACTCCGCCAGAGACCCCTGTCTGATCAACGGGTGTTCGTGTAAACCTTGGAGGTGCTGAAATTAAAAAAAAAATCAACATCACAGTTAAATCGAAAACTGAAACACAGACTATTATCCTGCTGCCACTGCTCTTCCCACCACCATCAAACACACTGCCGTCAGGACATACATTTTTAAAATGTACTATGGAATTAAAAAATTAGAAAAGCACCTTTTACTTGTGAGGGTAGTTTAAAGGGGAAGGAGGTAACTTTCTGGTCAAGTTATCTGTTAGTGCTTTTATTGCTGAAATCTGTATTAAGGTAGAGATCCAATAACATCCGAAAAGCAACATCACACATTAATTTTTATTACCAGTATAAAAAAAAAACCCAATTTGTCCTCTGTAACAAAATGAGCTCATCAATCAAAGTGAGTAAAATTTTAGCGCTTGCTTTGATGCCACTATCAGGCCACTGCCAGAAAGCAGCACTGCCACTGCTGAGCTATTAAAATTAGTGACATTTAAGAGGAATTCTAGGAAATTTTAAAGAGACAAGAAATATAGCCCTGAATTAGAAAGTTTGGCAAGAAACAGAAATAGAAGAAAATGGTAAATCGACTCTCTAACCCAGATACTGTGAGCTGTCTTGCTTGAAACCTAGCTCCACAATTTGCATAAAAGATGATGAGTCAGGAAGCCTCTAAAGTCATAGCAAAGCAAAGAATTTTTTAAAAGAAAGATATAGACTCAAAGATTACTAAGGCTAGAAGGATAGACACTGGAAGCTTGTTTAACATCCTCCATCTCCTTTAAATGTTCCTGACATTCTTCTCCCCTTAAAAACTTATTTATTTTTCATCTTGGTTTTCAAGATCTAGATATCTATCATACAAGAAAGACATAAAATGTAAATGAATATGCACAAATTTATTCATCATATCGTATCATGGGTTTAGCAGAAGTGTAAGTAGTCGAAACATTAAACAGTATGGGGTTTTTGTTAGAGTGAAATAAACTATGGCATGAAGACAGAACATCATGAAAGTGGTAAGTGTTATATTTATAAAGTCTGTATTCTGTCACATGAGAAATGCTTCAGTCAATAATAAGCCACAAAATTATAATATAGTGATATGTAATGGACAGCAGATAATAAAAAATGCACACACACAAAGATTGGACAAAACAAATGAAAACACAAATAGTGGTGTTCAGGAGGAGGTATTCTAATTATTTTCTGACTGCTTTCCATCTCTTATACTTCCTTGAGTTTTTACAATTATGTTCTGGTTGAAAACGTTTTAGAGTACCCAAACATTTTACTGTTCCTTTTTTTAAATTGTTTAATCCTTGCTACAGATTTTCTCTTCTCCCTTACTGTGTTCTAGTTACATGTCATTGAAAGTAGTTTTAAATAACCATAGCTAAAACTGATTTTGAAAACAATCCTTAGATTCTAAAAAAGAAGAAAGTCATAACAAAGTTCGTTCTTCTTGGCTCGTCATCACTATTTTCTCTGTGTTGATTTCACGTTTCCCGCATGGTGTTCCCATTGGGTTTGTGGTGTGTTCTGACTCTGCTTGGTTTTCTTGGAGTCAGGGAAGCTGGATTCCTATCTAAACTCCACCATTATGTATATGGATAATCTTGGAGGAAAAAAATCATCTAACTTTACCATTTCTTGGTATGACGCATGAAATACATTAATTTACAGGAATTCCAAAACTATGACACATGAAATAAATTAATTTGTAGAAACTGCTTCCAGTTTCAAGGTTTTCTAGCTTTATATATTATTTCCAAAAGAAGAAAGTTTAGGAAAGGCATATTATTTTCAATGCTGGTCCTAGAGAATGAATTTCCTCATCAGCAAATTCAACTTATAGGTGATCCTGGAACTGGTGGGAATACGGGAACTTGCTCATGTTCAAAAATATTAGGAAAGCAAAACAGGCTCTAACAACCCCACCAGATATCATAAGCCCGCATCTCTGTGTAGCAATGGGGACTAGATGATTCCTGGAAGCTGTGGGAAGGACTCAAATTTTTCTGTTATTGTTGAGATGGAGTCTCACTCTGCTGCCAGGCTGGAGTGTAGTGGCACAATCTCGGCTCAGTGCGACTTCCACCTCCCAGGTTCAAGCGATTCTCCCGCCTCATTCTCCTGAGTAGCTGGGACTACAGGTGCATGCCACCACACCCAGTTAATTTTTATATTTTTAGCAGAGACGGTCTACTAAAAATGTTGGTCAGGTGGTCTATATCTCTTGACCTCATGATCTGCCCGTCTCGGCTTCCCAAACTGCTGGTATTACAGGCATGAGCCACCATACCTGGCATCAAAATAATTTAAAATTGACTAACAGTGAGATTACAAAACACTGTATATTGATGTCACTTTTCTGGAAACAAATAAATATATTATAAGTTTTTATATTTATCTTTCTGCTGTTTCAAACAATGCAAATTGGTAATAACTACTTGCTTGTCAGTATGCAATGGAGAAAGTATAATTATGCAATTAAAATGTCTAAGGAATTTCCCTGGAAAAACAAAATACACTGCTGTATTAAATGGTACAATAGTATCATTTTTAGCTACCTTCCTTTCTTGTCTATAGACTAAATATTATCAATCCTGAAGGAAAGTCCACTGTAAGAGCCCAGCTTCCCATTTACGTTATTATTTTTTTTTTTTGAGACGGAGTTTTGCTCTTGTTACCCAGGCTGGAGTGCAATGGCGCGATCTCGACTCACCGCAACCTCCGCCTCCTGGGTTCAGGCAATTCTCCTGCCTCAGCCTCCTGAGTAGCTGGGATTACAGGCACGAACCACCATGCCCAGCTAATTTTTTGTATTTTTAGTAGAGACGGGGTTTCACCATGTTGACCAGGACGGCCTCGATCTGTTGACCTCGTGATCCACCCGCCTCGGCCTCCCAAAGTGCTGGGATTACAGGCTTGAGCCACCGCGCCCGGCTACATTCTTTTTTGAAACTTCTTGCAAGAATATGTGAACACAGGGAAGGGCTGTTGCATAAAATGAGTGTTTACTATTAGAAATTAAAGAAAATTAGGAATAGGATACCCTTTTCCCTGCATATGAATATTTTTTAAGGAATATCGTCCTATTTCTTATCCCAAGGAATGAAGAAAAGTTGGCAATTCTGACAATCTGCAAGTAGGCAATGGATACCTGGGTAAGTGCTTTCCCTGTCCTACTGCCATGTAAGGACCTCGGTTAGAAAGCTCATCTGGAAATAAATGGTGGGTGAGGACATTAAACAAGTCCAATTAGTATTAAACATAGAAATCTTATTTCTAAATGGAATGCAGAGAAACAAAATTTCCATACACTTAGACAACAGGTATAAGTACCATTTCAATATTTTCCAGGTGCGTTTCTCATTTATCTTCATTTTCTGATCAGACATTGAAGTTTTTTGTTTTTTGAGACACAGTGTTGCTCTGTCACCCAGGCTTCAGTGCAGTGACACTATCAAAGCCAACTGCAGCCTCAACATCCCAGATCAATCTGTCTTCCCACCTCAGCATCCAAAGTAGCTAGGACGACAAGCAAACACCACCATGCCCAGGTAATGTTTTTATTATTTGTAGAGTGGGGAGGTCACCCTACATTGCCCAGCACGTCTGGAACTCCAGGGCTCACGGATCCTCCCACCTCGGCCTTACAGAGTGCTGGAATTGCGGGTATGAGCTATCATCATGCTCAGAGAAGTTTCTGTGTAATAATGACAAGTATAAAAATAAGCCACCCAGAAAGCAGAGGTTGCGGCGAGCTGAAATCATGTCACTGCACTCTAGCCTAGGTGACAAGAGTGAAACTCTGCCTCAAAAAAAAAAAACCTAAAAAAGCCAAAGAAATGACCACTGGATGCTACTGTAGGATATTGTTTCTGGAGATCAAGTCAAGTAATGAAATTAACCTATTAAACTGTGGAAAATTTATTAAAATAATCAGTTAGAATCTATTGTAGGATCTGGAACTTTTTCTCTGAACCTTACCACTGTAATAACTTGATATTCTGAAGAAAAAAAAAATCTGAAAAAAAAACCTTAAATTTATTCTGTGAAAAATTAGAAAAAAATTGATTACACTACAGTTAAATACAAGTAATTTCAGGGGCTTGTACATAGAGCTTTTATCACACACACACACACACACACACATTTATATATAATTTATATTTATATATAAATATAAATATATATTTTATAAATATAAAAACATATATATATTTATATATAATATATATTTATATAAATATAAATACATATATATATAAAATTTATATATATATATATAAAATTAGTCTCTCTTGTCAGTAAGACCAATGTCTTTTATATATACATATATTATTTATATGTATAAAATATATATATATATATATAATATACATATATATATATATGACATTGGTCTCACTGACAAGAAAATCATGACTTTCCGACATGACCCACTATTGATTTTTCTATATTTGCCCGCAAGATTCAAACTACAAAAAAGATATATATCACCATCCTATGATACAAAGACTCAAGATCATATAGTAAAATCCTTTCGCTAAGCATGGGTGGTGCATATATAATCATTTTTGCTGGTCAAATTGTCAGACGGACTCTGTCAATGCTAGGCAGCCAGCCAAAGGAAAGACATGAGGTAGAGAGAAGACTAAACTTAACCCCAACAAGTGCTTGAGGCAAGTAAAAATCTTTATTCTCAGAGGGACGTAACAATACACATCACTCAGCTTAATAAAAGGAATGAGATGAATTGTCTGTCTTATTTTGTCATGGATATTTTCCAAAATATAAGCCACGCTCTGAAGATGTGATGAACGGGAAGAGAATCTAAGTAAAGCATAAAATAAGGGTGTCTATTAAAAAGTCACCATATAGGCCAGACTAAGATCTGAATAATGAAAATCTCCATTTTTAATCCCAAGAGATACAACCATCAGTGTTATAGTCTGTGAAAAAAAGAAGTATCAAGTATATAAAGATGGGGGAAAAAGGCATTAGAACTTTCCAGTCACCATTACTTAGACAGAC